TTTTGAAATTGTCAGAAAATTTCTAAGGAAAATTTGTAATAGTTCCAAACGTAATTTTGACTTTGACGTCTTTTTCTAGAAAATTTCTGAGGTTAAACTAAAAGTTTGAGTTCTTTTATTGCCAATTTTCAACTTTTGAAGCTCAGAAATTTCAATGTTTCTTCTAGAAAATTTCTGAGAACCTCCAAAATTTGATGTTTCTCTCAAAAATGCTCAACTTTTGAAACTTTTTTCCCAGAAAAATTGAGATTATCGTCCAACTTTCAGGTTTTTCTAGAATACCATTTTACTTTTTCTTAAAAATTACTCAATTTCTTTTAAGTTTTTCCAGAAGATTTTTGACTTTTGAAACTTAGAAATTTCAGTGTTCTAAAGTAAATATAGAGATTAATTTAAAAACAAATTTTTTGTCAGGTGTCTCCACCTGCTCCAGTTTTTATTTTAAATCCATTTCGGTTCTGATACGCTGTCGTTAAACGGGATTCTCTGCAGAGTGGTAATTTTTCTGCGCCTCCTGACCGCCGGCCCAGCTGACGCTCCGTTCTGCTATTTCTTAGCGGTGAGGTCACACTGGGCCTCCACACATCACACACCTCGGGCCATCTGAGTCCGGACCCGTCACATCTGGCCCTGAAGACCAGCGACCGCCCCCCCACTGCTCAACATGCACCACTGGTTCCCATTTAACACCTGTTCAGCCTAATTTCCATTTTCGGGGACGCTGCGGATTTCAAATCATTTATCACTTCCCAAAGTGCTTCCACATGTGCGCTCGCCTTTTCCCAGTGTGCAGGGTTCTCGCCTCCGGCCAACCTTTTCCAAATGTATTAAAATTCAGTTTGGCCCAAAGAAGTTCAGACACTGATGTTTCATTGTGGTGATGTCTGGTAATTATTAGCCTAAATTACAGCTCCAGCATGTGACTTGACAGGCTGGACTCCATGTTTAAAATGAGAGATGGGGCGACGGAGGCAGGCCCAAGGTGGTCTGTCACGCTTTGTGCGTTTCTGAAACCTCTCCCCCCTCTGCAGCCGATGTCAGTCAGAGCGAAGCCGCTCCGTCGCTGTGGAAGCACTGGTGCGGTCGGAGGCCTGCTGGGTGAACGCCGCTCTTCGCCACGTCAAACTCTAGCTGAAGTCCGGTTGATATTTAAGGTCAAAGGTCACATTGACACCAGGATTAGATCTTAAAGTGGGAAACCATTTGAATAAAAGTAAAATCAGATTATATTCCAAACTGTTTAAACCCAACAGCGGGACTGGAGCAGGTAATTGATTGTGACAAAAAACTGCAACAGGACTTCTGAATGAGACGCAGTTTCATTTGAAACGGTTCGTAAATTTAGCTTTTCAAGCGTTTTCGAGGTAATATCTCAACCTTTTCCAGCAACACACTTTTGTCATTAAAAGTAATAGAAATGAACTGAAGAAAGACAATTATGTATTATTTATTACTGTTATTATTAATATCTTTTAATAATGTTCTACAGAAGGAACTAAAATAGAATTAATAAAATTTTATGTTTTGAAATATTTTATAGACATGACTGAACTGAGAACAAAACACTGACACTGTGTAACGCAGAAAATATGAACAAACTGTTATTTCAGCTACACAGATCAATAAGTCATTGAGTCATTAAGAATAATCAATATTCAATACTTCATAACGATCCAAACACATATTTCTAATGGAAAACTTTCCTATTCAAATCAAATACAAAATAAGTTACTGGTCTGCTTAAAAACCTCGGACTGAGTTTGGTTGAAGTGAACTCTGGTGTGGTTTGAATGCCAACCGGATCAGAGACCGCTCCAAAACAAGGAAGTGGACTACAGTGCAGAGCATTCTGGGTAAATACAACCAAAACAAATATGTGAGTCTAGCGCTAGCCGGAGGAACAGCTCCTGGTCTTTTGCCAAGAACAAATAACCTCTAAAATCTGCCTCTTCTCCATTTTTATTTAAATTTTGTTAGCGTCTCCTTCAGAGATTTTCATGCTGTTTTCTTCAGTGGTTCTTGGAGCAGCGCCCCCACAGGCAAGGAGGGGAAAAGGCATTTCTATTTGGTTTATTTGACACAACAAAGCATGAAGGAAAACCTGGTGAGAATTTAACAAATGTTGCCATTTTGGTTCCCACCTGAAGCCTGAACCCAATCTACTGAATTATCAGATATGAAAACACCTTGAGATTAGCAATAGTTCATTTAACTCAAGTAAATAATTCCCAAAAGTAATGTTTTTTTGAATTAAGGTAATTCATGCTTGAATGTTTTTCCAAAATGGCCAAATTAAAACTGCGGGTCAAAATTCACAGAACTAAACAAAAACATAGTTCAGGAACTGCCTTTTGTTTTTGTTCAGGTGATTTCTGCGTGATCCTAAAATCAAAAAGAAGAAGCAACAAAAAACAACAGAAACTGAAGGCATTTGTGATGGGAAACAGTTTTCCCAGCACTGTCGTAAACAAATGGAAAATCAGTAAATGAAAAGTTCCCAAATACAACAGAAGAAAACACAGCAGGGGTCTAATTGTGTCGCCATCAAATTAAATAATAAGCAAAATTCAATTGGATTAGAAACTTATCATCAGCACACTTTTCATGTTCAAGGGTATTTGGTACAGACTTGGGGAGAAAAGATATTTTCATAAACACATAGGAAAAGGAAAATTGTTTAATCTAATTGAAAAAAGGAAATTAGTGTTTACAAAGAAAGATTTTTTTTTATTTCTGAGGAGCTGAGCTCCTTCTTCAAGTGGGAAATATATGAAACTGTGCTGTAAGTGTTCTTAATTAAAGTAGGCTGTGAAAATGTGCACTAATCAGATACGGTTGGTAACAAAGTCCATGAAATTACTAATTAGAATTTCATTAAAAGGTAGCGCTTTATCATCTGAGGAAATCGTAACCTTTAAAACGCTTTCAGGAAGGCGGTGAGCCTTTTTTAAAAGACACAAACCGACGGCTTTTGATGTAATATCTCATTTAGGATTTGAGCTAAATTGAACCATTTAAACATGTCATTGTTTTGCACGTAATTTATCAGACTAATTAATGGTGGTTATTGCCTGGGTTGGAACACCGGGTTCCAGCAGGAACAGATCACACACAAAAAACATTTTTCTTAGTATTCAACGTTGGCATGAAGAATATTCTCAGTTTTCCATTATTGCTCTGCTTTTACCTGATATTATTAAATGTTACCACAAAAGTGTCCATTAAAACAAATAAATTCAGTATATTTGGTATTTTATATGATATGTCTGCCAATTATTATTATTATGTTCAAATAAGGCAAATTGGAGCGATTTTTTAAGTTCTGTCACATATTATCAATCATTATTTATAACGGCCTTTAACTAGGCCGTTATAACATACAGAATTATCTGAACTTGACATGTTCAAAGTGAGCTTCATAAGATTTCTGATTAATTATTTTTCAAATTGAAGGTTATGTCTGAATACACATCAACATGAATCCAAATATATATCAAATGGATAAAATGAAGCATAAAATATTTTATTTCAGCGACAAATTCAGACATTAGCAAAAATCTGTTAAATTAAAAGTTATGGATTTCATGCAAAATATCATTTTTCTCAAGACAGCAGCTTTAGGAGGCCAATACTTTTCTATTCAAACTTCAAAAATGTGAAATGTTTTACACTAGGATAACTAGCCTCACTTATTGGAAAAATGTCACCTTCTTTCACTTTTTGTTGTGTCAAGTTTTGTATGTTTGGTCAAGTTTCTACTACAAATATCTCTCTTTGCAAAACACAGAATCTTACCAAGTAACTTTGCTTGGTTTCTGGTGCAAATATCTTAGTTCACTTAAAATATGACAAACTACCTTAAAGTGACTTAAAGAGATGGGAGATGTTTTAAGAAAAGAAAAAGTTCTAGTTTCAAAAATAATCTGACAGTGGAACTAGAACCTTTTCATAGAAATGAATGAATTGTTGCTGAAAAGTTTGTTGTGTGTTATTTCAAATGTACTAAAATGTTTGTAGAAACTAGACAAAAATACTTGGTAAGGTTTTGTGTTTTTGCAGTGTTCTGTTTCACTTTAATTATCTACTTGTGCCATCTATCACACAAAACCCTGATATAAGATCTTAAAGTTCATGTTTTCAACCTGACAAACTCTGAAAAAAGAAGAATAAAAGTATTTTAAATAAATTTTTCCTCCAATATTGCACAGAAAAGTTATCCGGTGCTCCTTTGTTTCCTGAGTCGCGCGGCGCGTCGTCCTCATGACCTCCAGCCTGATTGCGATTCCTGCCATCAGTCGGTCAGGATGGACTGTGTTAGTCGAACGGATCATGTGTCGCTACTCAGGCCTGTTTATCTGAAGGACAAGCGCTGGAAGAAAAGACAATCTGTTCCTCGGCTAATGACTCCTTGATTTCAGCGCTGCACAGTTCACCCTGCGCTACAATCCGCTCCCCGGCAACAGAATTACACGCAAACTGTCCACATTGGGAAGATATGTGTGGAAAGCTGATTAGTTGATAGTTCGCTCTGGTAACACCCATGAGTCAGAGGTGAGTGTGAGTGAAAAGTGAAAAGTAATACTGCAGGTTTCCCCCAGTGTCGTGCCCTCTGCAGATGTTGCAGCAGGAGGGAGTGGAGGTGCAGTTTGGGGTCGAAACTCGTCTGTTGTCTACTGAGCGGGAAAGGTTTTAGGCGCAAATCAGAAAAGTGATCACGCCCTTTAAAAATCCACGGGCTCCTGTTAATCAAACTGCCAGCGTGATGCGTAGCAGGGCATGCTGGGAATGCAGCTGTTTAATACGCCCCGGGGGCTTCATAAACGTAAATACCAGCCATGGCAGCAGCATGCTGCGGTCCAGACTGCATGTGGAAACATGCAGAGGCAACAAAGTACCCAGAAATTACACTCAGGTCACAGTAGCAGTACTTCAACATGTGTTTATAAATGTTCTCAAAAACATGTAAAAATTACATCAGATGGACCAAAGTATAAAATTACACTGCAAAAACACAAAATCTTACCAACTGCAAAAACTGCAGGTGTGTGTCTGGGTCTGTTTTGCCTAAAACATGTTTAAATCCAGAGATACTTCATAATAAAATTACTCGGGTAGAAGCAAAGAGAAGTAAAAATACTCTTTAAAGTTTTCTTTTTTTTAATTAAACGTAACTGAGTAAAGTCCCCCACAGAAACAGCTTCTGAGTTGTGATTTTCATTCCTAAAAGAAAAGCCGGAGCAGGAGGGATTTTTATTGTTCTGAGAAGTGAATGCTGTGGGTTTGATTTGCAGCAAAGCCTCCGGCTCCTCAACTGGACACTAATTTGCACCTTGGCCCGGGTGTCAGCTGGGCCTTAACTTGAGAGAGCGTACCTGTAATTAAAGCAGATGGTCCAACAGAACCTGTTAGGACGCTAACAAAGCAGGAGCTGCAGGTCCAAACCCGGCTTATTTTCTGCTAATGAGGATCTGCCGACACAGTGTGAGATGTTTCCATAAAATTATTTTATTATGTACAAATCTATATTTACCTGTCGTCTTCCTTTCTGTGGTTCAGGATTTATGAATTTTTTTATGGAACAAAATTGTTTGTGAAAAATGTGTATTTTGTGTTAGAGCACCAACTATGAAACAAACACACTGAAAAACACAAAGTCTTACCCAGTAATTTTGGTCTTTTCCATCATTTCCAGCTTGTTTTAAGCAAATTCCTCAATATTGATAAAAAAAGTTCGAGTTCCATTGACAACATGAATGTTGCTTCTCCATGCTTGGTTCTGGTTCCGGATGCAGAGCAGACCAGAACAAGAACCACTAAATGGTGCTAAACCATTCAGTGATTTATAAACTAACAGCTTTAAAGCTGCAGTATCATCTAAAATCTTCTTTTTTGAGCTTTCCATCAGTTTATAATGTCATTTCCTCACCAAAAACAGACCTGGAATGCTGCTTTGATCCTTTCATGCATGTTTGAGAAATCATTTAATCTCCACAGGATTTAGCTGTGTAAAATGCTTGATTGGACCTAGCTCCGCCTTCAAGACCCAGCTCCTCCCCCACTCTGCTCCTTGAGACTAGCCAGCAGCAATTAGCAAACACCTGATGGAACCGCTAGGCTCATCATAGGAGCTACTTCTCAGAGAAACTCTGGTAAAAATGTCATTAATGGGTCAACAGAGGAGCCATGTTGTCTTCTTCTTTAAGAGCAGGAGTTTTTAAAGAGATAGAAGTGTTAAAATGCAAAGTAATATTTAAGTCATATTTGATGTATTCAGGATTTTTGTAATGATCAAAGGTAACATAGTTAATGATCACACTATCAAATGTGAGAAATTTTGTCTTCTGTTTCTCTGCACGTTTATTGATCTCCGTCGTCTGGTTTCGTTTTTCACTTTGAGTTTTCAACATTTCTCTCCAGAAGTAAAAACAAACAAGCTTCCAGTGATCTCTTTGTTTCTGTTCTTATCAGCTGCTTATTTGCCTTGTAAGTAATTGTACTTAAATCTCTCCTGAGTACCACTAACGGCAGAAAAAGGCAGTGGTTTGAGCTCATTCATGTATGTTTATAACTGAGCCTCTGCCTGCAGTAGTATTATGTTAGAAGTCATATTTCCCCTTATGGGGGCAATAAATAATATCTTTATCTCAAAACGTGTGCTGTAGGGATTTCTCCCTCCACTGCAATGTCCTTGTCTTCTTTATTCAGCTGTGAACTAAAGCAGTGCTTATAATGAAGCCGTGCCATCAGTAGAAGTGGTTCAGGACTACAGGGTGGACATTTAGGCAATAATCTCCACGCACATGCCAGATTTGACCCAAAAGAACTCGCAGAAGAAAGAAAAATAAAGCTGTGACAGATCAGTGAATTGCAGGGTTGTTAAAAAATAACCCAGCGAGATTCCTATTAGAGGCATTTTTTCTCTTCGCCACCTCCGATTTTATGTTCCTTGTCTCTCAAATTGTGAGATGTGTTTAACAGCACCACACAGAGATATGCGCTAAATACCAGCTGAGCAACAAAAAAATCCCCATATCTGTCATTAAACGGATCAGGGAGTATAATCATCGTTTTACAATTGGAGCACACGCTGTAAACGTGCATTCAGCAGTCCTGAGGAGCCACTGTTCCTCCTGACATGATACAGCCGCTCATAATGCAGCCTGTAATTATCTGCTTCCTGAAGGTGGAGTGGCTTGTGCGTCTTTCATAAAATGCTTTTCTTCTCGTTGGGATTCACCTACATGTTCTGATTCTCTGTCCTCCACCAGGAAGCTCAGCAGCTTCGGAGCAGCCATCTGGTTAGCAGGACAAAGGCAACACGGAGGGCAGCTACACATGTTTTCTCCACAAACCGCTTCTAGACTCCTGACTCGTTTTGCCTGGGAGGGGCTTCGTCAAACTCCAGGCTGCAATCTGTCGCTACTGGCCACACAAGCTTTCATCAAACTCCTTTTACAGGTGATTTATAAAGTCTATAAATTATGTACTGCATCTTTTGCAAAACAAACAAAACAATTTCATCTGTCTATTTTGAGCTGTTGTGGAGCTTCTCATCACTTTAAATCCAAATAAACTGCTGCCATGCCCGCCCAACACAAACAGCGCAATTAGGCCACCAATTGTTGAAAAGCATTAGTAGAGCCTCCCACACAACCAACAAGAATGTAGGAAGTGTTTTCTTCTTGTTTTGTTGTAAGTCAACAACAAAACAAATACATAATGTAGTTGAATCCCCATATATATATGGTATAAAATCAATTGGCCGAAAATAAAATCGTAATAATGCGAGAACAAAGTCATAATTCGGTAATAAAGTCGTAATAATACGAGAACAAAGTCATAATTTGGTAATAAAGTCGTAATAATGCGAGAACAAAGTCATAATTTGGTAATAAAGTCGTAATAATGCAAGAACAAAGTCATAATTCGGTAATAAAGTCATAACAATACGAGAACAAAGTCATAATTCGGTAAAGTCGTAACAATACGAGAACAAAGTCATAATTTGGTAATAAAGTCGTAACAATACGAGAACATAGTCATAATTTGGTAATAAAGTCGTAATAATACGAGAACAAAGTCATAATTTGGTAATAAAGTCGTAATAATGCGAGAACAAAGTCATAATTCGGTAATAAAGTCGTAATAATACGAGAACAAAGTCATAATTCGGTAATAAAGTCGTAATAATGCGAGAACAAAGTCATAATTTGGTAATAAAGTCGTAATAATGCGAGAACAAAGTCATAATTCGGTAATAAAGTCATAACAATACGAGAACTAAGTCATAATTCGGTAATAAATTCGTAATAATACGAGAACAAAGTCATAATTTGGTAATAAAGTCATAATAATACGAGAACAAAGTCATAATTTGGTAATAAAGTCGTAATAATACGAGAACAAAGTCATAATTCGGTAATAAAGTCGTAATAATACGAGAACAAAGTCATAATTCGGTAATAAAGTCGTAATAATGCGAGAACAAAGTCATAATTTGGTAATAAAGTCGTAATAATGCGAGAACAAAGTCATAATTCGGTAATAAAGTCATAACAATACGAGAACTAAGTCATAATTCGGTAATAAATTCGTAATAATACGAGAACAAAGTCATAATTTGGTAATAAAGTCATAATAATACGAGAACAAAGTCATAATTTGGTAATAAAGTCGTAATAATACGAGAACAAAGTCATAATTTGGTAATAAAGTCGTAATAATACGAGAACAAAGTCATAATTTGGTAATAAAGTCGTAATAATACGAGAACAAAGTCATAATTTGGTAATAAAGTCGTAATAATACAAGAACAAAGTCATAATTTGGTAATAAAGTCGTAATAATACGAGAACAAAGTCATAATTTGGTAATAAAGTCGTAATAATAAGAGAACATTGCCGTAATATTACCCGACTTGTTGCTGATAAGTCCACAGCAAAACACATCATTTCCAGCTCCGCCCAGGCGTTGTACAGCACATGCAGCCTAAAACAAGCTTGAGTTGCTAGGTAAAGGGCTGGACTTGGTAATAAAGTTGGTAGTTCCTGCTGATTTGTGACGTCGCATTTGAAGGTTTTTGAAAACATCAACTTATCGCTAAAAAAAGCAACTGGGTGTTTTTTTTTAAGTGTTTGGGATTTTTTTTACAAGTGCAAATGGAAGAATAAAAACATGCGTCCCCTTGCACGTTTGTGTTCTCATAAAAATGAAAAACGTAACACTTTATTAAACCAATGTTCTGTTGAACTACTCATTCTGATAGAGAATAAAAAGAAATGTTGACCTCTGGCGATTGGTGTTAATTTTTTTCCAATTCACTCCATAATTACATACTTCTTTGGTTAGTAAATATGTTTAAAATGGGAAAAAATAAAATGGATTTTATAGACCCTACCAATAGTAAAAAAACAAACATACCACAAAATAAATTAAATAAGTTGAAAACAGTTTTTTTTTGTTTACTCTGGTTTGTAAGAAATCTGTACTTTTTCACAGCACCATAAATTAATAAAATCAGCCGAGAAATCCTGAAAAAAAAAAAAAAAAGAAGCAACCTTGTTTGGGTTTCTTCATTGGTGCTTATGGAAATGGCAAAAAGCAGGCAGCAGGGAGGAGGAAAAAACATTAATTATTAGCCCCAGTGGGATCTCTTATAGTCTGTCTAGCCTGGACAACACCAATTAATACAGCAATTATTATCCTGGCCCGTAGCACAGGGTTGACTAAGCTGGCTCTCCTTCTGACGATTATGGTGGGAGGAGGAGGTGGACGGGGGGCGAAAAGAGGCTTGCTGGAGTGAGATTATTCATCTCACACTAAACCCTGGCTTTTATGATGCACGGCTGATGGGAGATAGAGCCAAAGAGTAATTTAGTCTGCAAATTTCGACTCAGCATTACAGCAGCAACACAATCTCCCCGCAGATTAATTTCTGTCGGGTGTCATCTTTTCGGGGGCACAGAGGAGCGCCGGCCTGATAAAGAACGAAGCCCCTCCTTAAACTTCAGCAACAAGCTGAACTCTGAAGCCAGACCCCGGACGACAGGTTCAAAGTTCAGAGCGCCGCCTCTGCTCAGATCAAACTCCAGGCTAGCCGGGATTTAATTCAGTTGTAAAGCAATAATTCACAACAAAGGTAATTACTATGATGTTGTGTCAGGGCCACTGTAGGTAGAAGATAAATATTTCTGGCAAAAAATTTCAAACATTTTCAAAGACAAAAAAAGTGGAAATTTTCAAAAGTTGAGCATTTTCGACTTTCCAAACTCTACAAATTTGACGTTTTTCTAGAAAATGTCTGAGATTAAACTCGAAACTCCATTTTCTTATCTTTAAATTGCTACAAATCAAAAAATGATAAGGCTCTACT